CATACACAATTTTCCAACATATTTTGCCTTATTATTCAACTCTCTGGAATGTTTATATGCCTAGTTTCCCAAAACATTGTAAGTTCATAGGGGGCCAGGCAAATTGGTATGTGTCCGCGTGTTCTTCATATACCTAGCACACCATTGTGTAACAGTAGGTGTTCACAAAATGTTCATTGAATGACTTTTGGCCCAGCCTCTAAAGCAAGGGTCTCCAAACCTCAGGCCATGCATTGGTAATGCTCTGTTGCCTGTTAGGAACCAGGCCGCACAGCAGGAGGTGAGCGGCTGGTGGGTGAGTGAGTGAAGCCTTCTTTTGTATTTACAGCCACTCTCCATTGCTGGTAATACTGCCTGAGCTCTGCCTCCTGTCAGATCAGTGGCAGCATTGATAGGAGCATGAACCCTTATTGTGAACTGCCTGTGCGAGGGATCTAGGTTGTGCACTTCTTGTGAAAATCTAATGCCTGATGATCTATCACTATCTCCCATCACCCCCAGATGGGACCCTCTAGTTGCAGGAAAACAAGCTCAGGGTTTCTACTGATTCTACATTATGGTGAGTTGTATAATTATTTCATTATATATTGCAATATTACAATGTAATAATAATAGAAATACCATTGTATTATATACCATAATAAATGTAATGTGATTGAATCATCCTGAAACCATTCCTTCCCCCATCCCCAGTTCATGGAAAAAATTATCTTCCATGAAACCTGTCCCTGGTGCCAGCAAGGTTGGGGACTATACCTCTAAAGTAGACTTCTTCCATTAACAATTATGCCTGGCCATAAAATGTCTTACTAATAGTGCTTGCCTTATATTGTCTCCTTTGCCTAGGATATCTTTCCTCCTTTTCTCTCCAGATATGATTAATTTTTACTTACTCCTGGGGCTTAACTTAGGTATCACATATCTAAAAAGCCTCTTGTGACATCCATGTCAAGGTTGGCTTAGATGTCTATCCTCTGTGTCCCCATAACACCTGATTCACCATTCTGTGTCACCATACATTAGAATATTAGGCTTCTGCATCTGTTTTTATATCTTGAGGCTGTGAACTCCTTGAGGAAAAGTATGGTATCTTACTTAGTTTATGTCTCTAGTGCTTAGCACAATGCTGGTGTATGGAAAGTGATCAATGAATATTGAAGAAGGAGTGAATGAATGAAAATAAGCAAAACAATCCTAGTATGTTTCTAACAGTCTGAATGATGAGAAGTCAGATACAGAATGTATCCATGGAAACAATATAAAAATACAAGTAGCCCTATCTCACACTTGGTCAGAAGCTTCCTTATGAGGATGGCTTAACTAAAACCACAGTGCACCCTAATCAATTCAATGTAGTCTTGAATACTGACAATGAGACGTTGCCACCTAGAAAATCATATTTTGACTCCCATAGCATCTTAGGCATATGCCAATTTGTTTTTGATCATTGGGATTGCTCCCCTGGTCAAACCACCTCATCTCTATGCCATGAATGGTCTGTCTTTCTCACTCACCCACGGGCAGTTTGCCTCCTTCAAACTGTATTCTTAGGCAGAATTTAAAGGACAGCAAGCACTTCTCCAACTTCTACCTCAGGAGTTGGATGGTTTCCAATTATTAGTGGGGGGAGACAATTCTAGATGATTCTTTCAAGCATGAGGTGCAATTGTCTTATTTAATATACTTACTGCACTGACAGCTCTGGCCCAAACCACCTTCTATCCTACTTGGGGACTGTCCATTGTTCTCTAGTGTATGATTAGCAGATTAGCTATCATGTAGGAAGCCAGGAAAATGAACTCACAGTAAGCCCTTCCAAAGCAAGAGTAATTCATTACCCGGCCTGATTTCCACTTAAAATGTACTTTAAGTACACTTCCAACTACAAACCCTAAATCACCCTGTGTTCACAAAGTCCATCATTTTTTATTTTATTGCATGGCGTTGGCGTGACATAATCCCTTGCAGAGCTTCTCGGAGTGCCTTACAGATCAATAAATTACTTACCTGCACAGTTGAAGCAGTGTCTGCAAGGCCAGCACAGACATTCTGCAGGCAGCCTGTCCTCCAGGAAGCAAGCAAGGCTGTGCGGGTGCCAAAAGTGAGCAGGGGCGGGGCCCGGCAGATGTATGGATTGGTGTTGGGGGGTGGAGGGGGAGGTGGCTGGTGTGTGAGATGCGAATGCTCTAGTTAAAACTCTGTGAATAAAACACATCAAAGTGTCTATTTTTGCAATGATCAGTTTAAATGATTCCAGAACTAAGAGAATTTAGAAGTTTGTACCCTTCAGGCAGTCAGCAAATCAAATGCTCAGTCATTAACTCATCAATTACCTTTCTGTCCTGGAAGGCTCGATGTAGCTTTTAAAATGACACAACCATAAATTGCAATGTTATGGCTTAAAAGTCCCAGATTATAGAGCTAGCGTTCTGTCTCCTCCAACCGTTGTCCATGTCCGCTCTCCATTATTTCTGTCCCACCAAATGCTTATGGGAGTGCAATTAAATGTGTGTGTGTGTGTGCGTGCGCGCGTGTGTGGAGACACACACACTGCCTCTCTATCTGAAGCTCAATGAGGATGGAAATCTAAAAATGATTAACTGGTGCTTACTCTGTGTAACATCCCCTAGTTAGGACAGCAAAAACTTAAAAAGTTAAGTGAGGATCTTGTTTAATATCTTATATTAATGTAATTTATAGTATAAAAGGAAAGGTGGGACACATGTTACATAAGAGTTTACTTTAAATGCCATACAGGAGACACTACAGTGCTGTGGAATCCCCAGGAAGGAGAGGTCATATCCTCTTGAGGATCACCTGGACAGCCTTATCAAAGGGGTGGTAATTCTCTCAGATCTTGCATAATGTTAACAGATGTGGATAGGCACAGAGAAGGGTGTGAGCACTGAAGTCAGCAACAAGGGCATGGGGATAAGGAGACAGCTCAGTGCAGCACAGATAAGTACAGCACATGCTTATTAATGATGAACGTTTCAGTTGGGTGGATGCAGGACATACATGGAAGGTAACACTGGAGAAGACAAGAGGAAGAAGGCTAAGATATCTTTATAATACCCCGTTTTCATGAAGGAAAAGATCCAACACAACTAGGAATGCGTGAGTAATGGTTCAAGTAGAGGAAAGACCAGCATTAAAATTTGCAAACCCATCTGATTTGAGTGTGAGGGCGCCACCCTGACCTTGCAACAAGCAATAAAGTCATCGCGCAGCTTCCCTGGGATCTCCAGCAGGCCAGATCACATTGTAAGCCAGGTGGATGGTGTGCTCTAGAATTGCACAGCATGGTGACTCTGAGGAGTACTTATTCAAGGCAAGAATATAACATGAAGAAACAGAAGAGTGCTGGATGGAGGGGACACTTAACTTGCCAAGAACTAAGAAGTCAAAACCAGCATCAGTAGGATTGAAAGAATATCTGCCAATGACCCAGCTCTGAGGTTATTATGGACATGTTGCACGCAGGTTGGGAAGGTGGTTCCCTTGAATAACCATTATGACTCAATTCTGTAAATATTTGTTGAGCTCTTAGTGTGGATACAAAAATAAGTAACACATCGTTCAGGTCATCAGAAAGCTCATGGCCTAGTGGGTGATGCTAAGCACATAACCATAGCTTAGTGAAATACGTGTCTAGAATTGGAGTTTGGAAGTTCAATAAATGACATCTTTACTCCATTCACTTGAATGCTAAAACACATAAGACAGATAACTAGACACATGGAACCAAATATCACATGTTTATTAGTAGTAAAGCCGAGACTGGAGAATTAGGCCCAGATGTGCAGCAACGATGAGGTTCCATGACTGGACCCCAGAAAGAAACAGGCACACACATGCAATGGCTGGATGTTCCACAGGCCCTATCCAGTCCTTGTGCATCGCTGCACGAGAGAGAGAGAGAGAGAGAGAGAGAGAGAGAGAAAGAAGTTGTGGCTAACTGAGGTTTTATTCGATTCCCCACCAGGTATATAGAATGTGCTCTGGGCACATGGATGAAGAAGCAGCAATTTGAGGTGTCCAAAAGGACAGAGAAGTGTAGAGGGTAGGGAAAGTTTCAACAAAGAAAGTGGCATTTGCTTTGGGCCTTAAGGATGGCTGAGAGTGCACTTTGGGAGGCTGAGGCTGGTGAATTGCTTGAGCTCAGGAGTTTGAGACCAGTCTGGGCACATGGCAAAACCTTGTCTCTATAAAAAAAAAATAAAAATTAACCAGGAATGGTGGCACATGCCTGAAGTCCCAGCTACTTGGACTGAGGTGGGATTGTTTGAGCAGGGGAGGTCGAGGCTTCAGTGAGCCATATTTGTACCACTGCACTCCAGCCTGGGTGACAAAGTAGGACCCTGTCTCAAAATAAAAATAAAAATGAGGATGGTTGGGAGTTGTCCAGGAAGGATATAAGGAACAATATGGACCCAAATCCTTACTGCCCAGACAGGGCATGATGTTCTGGGGACAACAAGGGAGTCAGCAGAGGTGGGATCAGTGGGGATGGCCATGGAAATATAGGCTGATGCTTGATTCTGCATGGCCTCATGCCTAGAAGGAGTCGAGTTATGACCAGGTGGCCATGGGGAGCCATTGGAGCTGTTTAGACAGAGATGTGATATGGTCAGAATTGCATTCTTTCAAGACGTCGCTGAATTCAGTGTGGAGGATGGCTTGTGGATATGTGTTGGAGGTGGGTGGGGGTGAGTAGATACAGGAAGAGGGTGGAGGCTAGGAGAATAGCTATTGCAGTGTTGCAGTCGAATTTATTCCCATTCGGACTCCCTGACTTTGTGTTTAAATAAAAGGAAATCAAAGCTAAATTCAAGGTAAGACTTTTTTTTGATATTTAATGTAATTCCTCTAATTTCTCATCATTAACTTACGATAGTCCATGTATTTTACTTTCTGAGCTGTTCTGCCAACTACCATGTGAAGACAACTAAGAAATGTTTCAGCAGGATTTTTATTTTCATTCTGTCTTGTCTCCACAGTATCTCCCAAAATTGTAGAGATTTCTTCAGATATCTCCATTAATGAAGGAAACAATATCAGCCTCACCTGCATAGCAACGGGTAGACCAGAGCCTACAGTTACTTGGAGACACATCTCCCCCAAAGGTAAGAGAACAGTTTGGTGCATTGCATCAGGAGGATAAATGGGGGAATTTGGGGCCCTTGGTAGGAGGTTATGGGTGCTGATACCTCCTCCAAAGGAGTCTACGTTTTGATGGCTTGATGGTAATATACTCATGGCTGTGCAGAGAATACTGATGTTCTCTGCAAAACAGGCATATCCTCTAAGATCTCAGAATTCATACCTCAGTATGTCTCCAGTCCCTTGGAAATTAATCCCTGTTGTCTCCGGGTGAAATGGTGATAGGTGTTCTGGGTGGACGTTACATGTTGTTTGATGATGGAACGAAGCTTTAGTGGCAGTTGTTCAGCTGGTTGTTTTAAAAGAGAGAAAACACATAATGATGGGTGGGCTTTAAATGGTCACATTCCTAAAAGGAGACTGTCCAAGTCTGTGCCTCTGCAGCCTTGCCAAAAATCTGCTCACGAGCTGTTTTTGTGGTTTTGTTGTTGTTTTACTCTGATTGATCCTAGAGAACAAATATAACTTAATATGTGACTAAATTGCAAAAATTTACTTTATCTGAAGCTCAGATGTTATGTAGACCAAAGTGTTGTTTTGTGCTTTCATGGATTGAACATTAAAACCTTTAGAATTTGAGACAAGATGTCATTTATTATTAAGCTAGCTCTTATTTGGGAACAAAAAAGATAAAAATATTTCATTCTTAAATATTTATGGAGTGCTTGCCATAGTCCAGCCTCTCTTCCAGGCACTGGGGGTTACAGCAATAAGCCAAAGAGGTGAAGTTTTCACTCTTATGAGCTCACATTCTCATGAGACAGATGATAAAAAAAAGAGTATGCAATATAACAGGTGGTATTAAGGGTGAGAAAATAGAACAGGATGTGTTGACAGAATGACAAGAGCTTTCTTCAGAGAAGGGCTCTGAAAAGAAGATATTTGTGCAGAGAGATGAATAGTGGTCCTTAATTGTGTTGCTTATTGCTGATTAATGTGAAATGTGTGTATGTGATTATGTATGTATATATATGCAGGTGTGCACAGATGGATGAAAGTGTGTGATTGGCATGAAAAACGCCTATTAGGGGCTGCTTTTGGCCTCAACTGCCATGGAAGGGAAAAGTGGGAAACAGAGTTGGGCAAGTTGGAAGCTGGCTTGTGAGGCAGTGCAGTGGGACATCTCAGCTGAGCCTATGGGGAGCTCTGAAGCTAGGATTGCCCTTCAGAAGCTTCCCTTATTGAGGTGGTGGAGCTAGTCCTCTACACTGGCACAACAGTGCAAATATAGGCTGATCCCCAAACAGGTGTGACTATGGGCCAGGCGTCTCTCTTCACATGAGACGCAGGGGGCGGACCACCGAGGGCCGTCCATCAGCAGCAGGTCCTTCTGTGAGGCTCCCGAAGGTGGCTGTGCATGACAGTGTCCACTATACTTCAACATTTTAATAAATCAGAGTAAGACTATGAAAGGGCCCCAAATACCAAATTCCAGACAGTGACAGTTGGCCCTGATGAATGTTCTCAGAGAAGGCGTGACATTTTCAGTTGTGTGTGGCCTGAATTCCTGGGAGCTGTCCTGGGCCACCATTCTTGACACTGTCACTGTGAACAAGGGGTCTGTGAAAGCTATTCACATGTCTGCCAATCTCTCCATTTGAAATGACCTCACGTGTGGACTGGCCCAAAACTGGGGAGGAAGCTTCAGTTGTGCATGAGATCATTAGTGATGGAGAATGGCCCTGGGCCCTTCTGAAGGAGAGACCATTCAGACAGATGCACGCTAAGTCTGCAGTGTGCACCATTCATCACAGCCTGATGTGAGTCCCCAGTGCTAGCGGATGCCAGCCCAGTCTGTGCCTTTGGAGTCTGCAGAACATTCATTATCAGGGTAGGCTTCCTGTGCCTGATGTCAAGAGGCTCTGTCTACTGTTTGATGTCTCTTCTCATTCCCTCCTCCGGCCAGTTCTTTGTCCTTTACTGGGTGTTTCTTCCCCTGCTTCTCCTGCATGCATCTGCTTTTTGTCCTGCCATTTTATGCCTATAACTTCCCTATAAGTTATTTTTGTTGTTGTTCTTTGCTTTGGCTTTCTCTTGCAGCCTCTGAAATGTTTCTGCTTTGATTTCATTCTTTTCCACATTCTCTCTCCCCTCCTTGCAATTGTTTGTTGTCTTCCCCTCTGACGTTTGGGCCTCTTGGGTTTGTCTGGCTGATGTTCACAGGGCTGTGTGTTAGAGTCTTTTGTCTCCCCTTTTGTGGCCATCGAACAGATTCATTTCCCCAGGGAACTTTTGCCTGAGCCTGAGCCAGGTGTCCCATTTTACTGAGGTTTTAGCTGCTATGGAAACAGAAGATGGATCAAGGAAAGAGAAGCAGGACAATCAGAATCTACCTGTGGATTAATTTACATAAACAGCAATTTCCGGATCTCAGGTCCAGTTTAGCTATCCCAGATTCAAACTGATGAGACATGCCAAGCAATAACAAATCACCTCGGAACTCACCAGGGTGCCATTTCCCAGTGACTGATTATTTGGTGATCAGAGATGTCACTGGACTGCGCCCAATATGAACTGAAGCTGGAGACCCTGAGCAGTCAGGCCTTCATCTTTCCCCAGTAGTATTTCCTCAAGGAGGCTTATGCTAAATAAACCAGGATAGGCTTGGCGTTCCTTGGAGAAGAAGATGTGCACCTTAGCAGAGGCTCCAAAGAAAGAGTTCTATTGTCATCTTTTGTGTCATTCTTCGAGGGTAGATCACATTTCCATCAAGATCTTTCTTACATGCAAACCTGCCAAATCACTGGATGAAGAGCTGATCAGGGCTAAGCTCTTTCCGCAACTCTGATGACTTCATTGCATTTTTTCTCTCCAGACTGATTTGTTTGTTCTGTACATTTCTTAAAAGTCCTTTTTTCCTTCGTTATCACTCATATGGTGTTGCTTGAGATAAACTTATATCAATCTCTTTAGATTGTGTATGTCTAGTCCTGACTACCATGTGGAAAGGAGTACAGAAATGTTAAGGGCTTTTTTAGACATGGCTCATACACTTTGATATAGGGCAGCTTAGGAGTGACCATCAGGTGGAAAAGGAGATGGAGGGCCCTGTGTAGTATTTTATATCAGATGGAGAAAATGTCAGTTGTCCATGTCCAGTACAGAGAGGGAGGTGGTGCCTACAAAGCCACCTCTTGGCACTTTCATTGATTGTTTGAAATAATTTCCATATATTATTACTGGCAGTATGCCTTTGTAGTTCCCTTCCTGAATTTGTCAGAATTCAAAGAGGAAGTGCACTAACTTTTTTTTTTTATTAATTATAATTATACTTTAAGTTCTAGGGTTACATGTGCACAATGTGCAGGTTTGTTACATATGTATACATGTGCCATGTTGGTGTGCTACACCCATTAACTCGCCATTTATATTAGGTATATCTCCTAGTGCTATCCATCCCCCCCCCCCCTCCCCACAATAGGCCCCAGTGTGTGATGTTCCCCTTCCTGTGTCCAAGTGATCTCATTGTTCAATTCCCACCAATGAGTGAGAACATGTGGTGTTTGGTTTTCTGTTCTTGCGATAGTTTGCTGAGAATGATGGTTTCCAGCTTCATCCATGTCCCTACAAAGGACACAAACTCATCCTTTTTTATGGCTGCATAGTATTCCATGGTGTATATGTGCCACATTTTCTTAATCCAGTCTGTCACTGATGGACATTTGGGTTGATTCCAAGTCTTTGCTATTGTGAATAGTGCTGCAATAAACATATGTGTGCATGCATCTTTATAGCAGCATGAATTATAATCCTTTGGGTATATACCCAGTAATGGGATGGCTGGGTCATATGGTATTTCTAGTTCTAGATCCTTGAGGAATTGCCACCTGTTTTCCACAATGGTTGAACTAGTTTACAATCCCACCAACAGTGTAAAAGTGTTCCTGTTTCTCCACATCCTCTCCAGAACCTGTTGTTTCTTGATTTTTTAATGATTGCCATCCTAACTGGTATGAGATGGTATCTCATTGTGGTTTTGATTTGCATTTCTCTGATGGCGAGTGATGATGAGCATTTTTTCGTGTGTCTGTTGGCTGTATGAATGTTTTCTTTTGAGAAGTGTCAGTTCATAGCCTTTGCCCACTTTTTGATGGGGTTGTTTGTTTTTTTCATGTAAATTTGTTTGAGTTCTTTGTAGCTTCTGGATATTAGCCCTTTGTCAGATGAGTAGATTTTTTTAGCACAGCCCTTAAACTCTCAGCTTTCTGTCTCCACTAGAACAACGTTAATGCTATCTGTTTCTCCTGAGTCTTCGCTAAGTAAATGGAAACATGATCTCTTTCAATATACCCCAAAACATGCTGTGTAGGACCTTACTCTTCATAGAAAAGCATTCTGAAAGCCTTATTGTTATGTTACCGGTTTCTGTTGGATTGTAAGAGCTTTAAAGACAAGGCTAGGATTCCTACATTGCCACATTCCTGGGATCCCAAAATGAAACTCAGGTGAAAGAGTGAGTCTTGTTACTGTGGGTGTTACTATCCATTTGCAGTCAGGGATCACTGAGTGTCCTAATGGAGCTCCCCTCTTGGGTGCACTTACCTTCACCTTTCTCTCATCAAACAAGACACTGACAATAAAAACCTCATCTAGGCTACCCAGAGAACACGTTATACTGAGATATCGGTAGGGGAGTTCAGCAAAGCCCTGCGAGCTGTTCACAGAAATGTCCTCATTTCCAGTTTATTAGCAATGTTCCTGTTCCATGAGCTCTTTGAGATCAGAGTTTGCATCTCACTTCTCTTTGATTCTCTCTTTCTAGCACAATGCCTAGCATCTAGGAAGTATTTAAGAAATATTGGTCAGTTCAGTGAAAAAGCACTGATATTTGCCAATGCCCCAAAGGGGCATGCCTGTTCTCCCAGTTCAAAGACTATCTCGATCCTTGAGGAGTTCTCCTTCACTTTGATGTTGGCATGGAGACCTGGAGTGTTTCCTGCTGGAGAGTCTCCAGGACATTTTC